TGCTAATCCGTTTTGGTCCCCGAGTGTAGAGAGAAGGGAGAGAGGAAAAGAGAGACAGGAGGAGAGAGAGATCGTCGATCAAGCTTATTTAGGTTATTTTGGTCGATGAAAATCTATTAGATTTTTTAATCTTTGAGAGATGAGTTTGTCCATGGTGGTTTTAAGACATTAAACAATTAGAGGAGGTGGATTGAAGCCAAAAAAGGAAAAAAAAGTTTCAATTTGATTGTGTTTTTTTTATGCATTAAAATTATTTTTAAGGTTTTAGATGTGTTTATTGATTTTATTTTGATCATTTAGAGGTATTTGAGAAAAAAGATGATGTTGGAATTCAATTTCTAAGGGTCCGAAACTTGATCCTTGATTTTTCAACGAAGCTTCGGCGACCTCAAGTTCGTAAAAAATTACGGATGATATTTTTGTTTTTTGGGTTCGAAGCGACCAAGGCTTGATGCACGAGCTCGACCAAGCATGGCCTTTTTTTTTTTCTACATATTTATACATATCCAGGCGCCTGGCTTTTTTCACCTTATATATATAATTAGAATTTATAAAGTATAATAATATATTTTAAAAAATAAAAAACTCATTTAAGAAGCAAAAAAATAATTTATTGTATAAATTATAATAATATATTTTAAAATAATAAAACACCGATGTTCTAAAATTTTATCCCAAAATTCATTTATTTTATTAACAAATAAAATTATATCAAAAAATTAATTTGATGAGAATTTTAATAAGAAAGAAATAATTGAAAAAATAAATTTAAGCAATAAGAGTAATAGTAATCTTACATGCACGCACGTGTGCGCGCGCGCACACACACACACACACACACACACACACACACACACATATATATATATATATATATATATATATAGAGAGAGAGAGAGAGAGAGAGAGAGAGAGAGAGAGAGAGAGAGAGAGAGAGAGGTATATTTTAGATAGTTTGACTTATTGTTTTTTTAAAAAATTAATAACTAGCTAAAAGGATTCACAAGTTTTATTTTTTATATATATATTTATTCAAAATTTATCGAAACCAATTTTATTGTAGTTTTTATTTTAATCTATTGACTTAATATATTTCATATAATGTAGGTGGTTTTTTTTTATATTTTTTTATTTATTTTATATACTCTAAATCTATTAAGTATGTGTATGTGTGTGATTAATTTTGTTAGAAATTAACTACATATCTGCACACATAATACCAATTATTGTTATTTTTTTTTCTTATTTTAGTTTTTTTTTAAATAAAATAAGTTCAATAATGTTTTAAAAGAGTATTTAAATACAAATTTTTTTATGCTAATATTATTAAATATTTTGTTAATAAATATATATAAATCAAATGATTTTGCTCAATATATAAATTCGATTTACATTAATCACAAAAAATAAAACTTCTACTCATACTATATTATATGAATCGTTAATTCTACGTATGCAATGGCTGTTTTAACGTAGCATAACGTGAGTATCTAGCTAGTAATTCTTAAACCAACAAATGGGTACGGTCTTTAAAATCCTAGACCACTTACTTCATTTTTTCTTTTCTTTTTCTCTCTCTTAATAAGCTGGAATATGAAATTTCATTAGTAACACCGACAAAATAAATATCTTGCAGAAAAGCAATAAACTTTGCATTTATGTTGCACCTGTACATGCGGTCCTTTTTTTTCCCCTTCTATTCGAGGAAAACAGTCTTGATCATAGAGAATACGAAGACATGCATTCAATTGGTTGGCAAATGTAGTTAAGAGATGACTCACTTAGCTTGAAAGTTTTTATGTTTGAACTTTGTTTTAGACTTTTGTAAAAAAATAAAATGTGTATAAATGTAAATAAATAATAAAACAAGAAAACTCAATGTTCTATTCTGTATAAATCATCATTTTATATCAACCAATGGGTCTCTAATGGTCTCACTTAATATATATCAAAAGATCACCGATTCAATTCTTAACAAAGGTTAGGAATTGAAAGTGTTTACAGTTCTCTGCATAAAAAGTGATCAAAATTAGCACAATCATCTTTGACAGCAGCAACTGCGTGTTTTTATTCCAAAGAAAATCAGTTGCCATAATTATGACATTTTACATATGCATTGGCGGTAAATATATAGAATTTAGTTTATACTATTAAAATTATACTAGCGAATTTATGGTCATCCTAGCTCTATATATTGGGTTTTATCTCAATTTGCTTTCTACATGGACCCAAATAATAAATGTGAAATGCATTTATTTGATGAATGATTGATATGAATAGAAACAAAGAAGCCAACCAGCTGGTGGCTTAAAGGAGTAACACAAAGTTTGAATTATACATAGTTGGGTTAAAAGGATCCTATACAACTTTAATAATTATTATTGAAATTAAAGGTAATGTGATGTTTGTAAATTGATGTCTAATATTGCTGTCAAAATCAGCATACCATTTAAATGGTCCACCTTTTTAATTAGCTATCGAACTCTTTCATTACTTTTTTTGTTTGTTTCAATGAAAAGTGTATAATTCTATATTTTCATTCTCTTTACTCTATAGTTTTTAGTTGTATTTTGTACCTAATTATGCTTTTAGAGTTATATTTGTGTTTTAGGCATGACTATGGAAGTCCATGATATTTTTGTTTAATTATAGAAACATTTCAGCTTTTTAGTATTTTGACCTTCTAGGCTTCTTATAGGTTTTTGACCACTCTAGAGTTCCAGATCATGCAATTATTCTTTAGAGTGTTTGTACAGGATGTCTTGACCTTTCTAGAATAGTACTATGAGCATAAATTCAAGTTTGTTTGAGTCTCCAAACATTAGCTCAAAGTTAGAGTTGGAAACTGAAGCTTAATCCTAATTGTAGTATTCTGTCCAAATATTAGAGCTTTAAAGGGACATATCTTGTGTTTTTGATATCCGAATTAGGTGATTCAAAAGAAAAAAAAATTTTAATGAAGAACTCAAGACCTAGTTTGATCTCTTAATCATCCAAAATTGGTATTGAAGTCACAGCATGAAACCTAAAATCTAATCCTAGTTGGTTTTGGGAAGATATTAAGCTCTTTTATGTAATCTTCTGACTTAATGCTCAGGCAGCTAGCAAAAAACGACACTTTTTTTGTGGCTAAAAGAGAAGGAAGAGATATTTGCAAGAGCACCAAAATATACGTTTAACAAGTTACTATTTAAGTTCCTTAATTGAAGCAGTTAACTGTTAGCTTTAGGCCTTTATTCTTACATTTCTTTTCAGATATTTTTGGAATAAATACTGGATTTGAGTGGGAAAAAAAGGACAAAGGTATTGGTAGCTAGAAACAAGTCATTCTTTTTTCTTTTATTCTTGTGTTCTTGAAGAGACCATGTTTGGCTAATTGTTTTATTTTCAGTTAGTTGGAACTAAAATCATCATTGCAATCTCGTGAGCCTTGTTCTTTTTTGTTAGTTTCCAATTGAATATATGGTTTCCTTCCACCATCTCTGTAAAGTCGTAAGACTTGTCCTTCTCTGTTTTTTTTTTTCTTTTCTAATTGACTATCTAGTTTCTTTATATTTTATGTGTTGAATGATTGATGAATTGTTTGATTAGAAGTACTACTAATTAGTTTATTTATTTAATCAAATGCTAAGTAAGAATTGGATTGCTATCAATTAATGATTCTATGTTAGTAGCAATAGATATTAATATTAATGGACAAGTTAATGTTAGTTTTCTATGAAAAATCAGATTAAATTGAGTAAACCAAGCCATTGTGTGCTTAACATTTATTGCCAGTTGTCTTTCTAGTTGTTAATACTATTTCTGAAATGAATTAAAAGCATAGTTTTCACATCAATTTAAAGTTGAAGTTCTATTGATAAGCTATCTTTTAATAGACTAATCTTAAGGGGGAAAAAAAACTAAGAATTTTAGGTCTAAACCTGACTATCTTGATTGATTATTTAATTAGAATTGATTATATTTTGTGTCAATGAACAAGTTTACAAACATGGTGTAAGTATCCTTTTAGTTGCAGCTTTGTCCTATAATTTTAATCGTCAATATTTATGTTAATTTGATCCTTATTCTTACATTTTTAATTTATTAATACCTTCCACACATAATTTTGTTAAGTATTTTTATCTTGATTGAAAATAAAAAAAGAATTAGAAAATTTTATCATATCTAGAGTCGTTCATTTATGTTCTATCTAAGTATGTTTTTCTCTTACTTTAGGTCAATCAAAAATTTTAAACTTAATCATATAGTTTTTGGGGATTCAACTTTTACTTACTGGTATCTATTTTTTGAAGTAAGGTAATTTAATTTGAGCGCCTGGCATGCATAATTTATAATTCATTTTAATTTCTAACTTCTGAAGTATATTTTACATATTAGATGATTTATGGTTACATTTTTTTTAATTGGTTTGTCGATTGTATTTGTCATAACTATATGAATATATTTTAATTTAAAAATTGATCAAATTCGCAAATATAATAAATAGCTAACATAAAACTAGTGGTAGGAAAAGCATTAAAATTTTCATATTTGAATGACATTACTTTTGTTGGTCTTGTTTGTAGTAGCCTCCAACTATCATTAGGGATAGCCTTGAACTCTTCATCAATTAGGTCATTAACCCCCTGTTTGGATAGGGATGAAGGCGGGAGAGAGGAAAGAAAATAGGGTGGAAATGAAAGTTTTCCCTCGTTTGGATTGTAGAGGAAACCGGAGGAAATAAATAAATAAATAAATGCTTTTTTCGTGGGACCCATTTTCCTCCCAAAATTGGGAGGAAACGGGGAGAAAAGCGTGAGATGTATATATATATTTTTTTGTTTCACATTTTTGCCCTTGTCTCATCTGTCCCCCTCATTTGCTACTCTCTGCTAATAGATCGGCAAAAAAAATCTATAATCAAACCCCCACCAAAAGATGGACTGCTAATCAAGTTATTGAACCTTTTACCCACCACCAAAACCCCCACCGATCGCTAATCAAAGAGTCTCTCTTACCAAAGCCCCTCTCCCTCCATCTTCCCGCAATGCACCAAAAACCCACCGCCACCGCCACCACCGCTCATAACCCACAAATCCACCCCGCCTTTCCTTTTTACGATCCCTAAAATCGAACTTGCATCGATTTCTTCGGTTGCCGCTCCACCCACTTCGTTTCCAAGCTCCATTCCGAGCGGCCCATAACCACCATGGGTACTCGCCACACCTCGGTCGACCAAGAAGCTCTCCAGCATGTAATAGCGTATGGAAAAGACGAGGGGGCCCTTGAAAATGTGTTGCTTGGGTCGGATGATTATATTTTCTTGATTTGAGAGCTTGGTAATCGAGGAGACTAAAAAAGTCATTTGTTGCTTTGAATTTGTAGTCAAAAGGGAGAGGAAAAGGAACAAACAAGGTAAATTGGCGAGTGCCATGATTAGTACTCCGGGTAGGTTAGGTAAAGTAGAGATTGCTAAGAGTGTTTTTGAGGTCTGCTCTTATTGAAGGTTATGGAAATACTGTTTATGCTTTCTCTGCTATAATTAGTGCATATGGTAGAAGTGGTTATTGTAATGAGGCTATTAAGGTCTTTGATTCGATGAAAGATTATGGCTTGAAGCCCAATTTGGTTTCTTATAATGCTGTTATTGATGCCTATGAGAAAGGGGGTGTAGAGTTTAAGCTAGTAGTGGAGATTTTTTATGAGTCGTTAGAAATGGAGTGCGACCGGATCGAATTACGTTTAATTCCCTTATTCGTCGTGTGTAGTAGAGGAGGGTTGTTGGCGGCAAGCCAATGCCTTTCGTTAGCTATCCCGGAATTTCTATGTGGTAATTCATGCCCCTCGTTGTTGTTGATACCTTTCGGGATCATGTTCTACGGCCTCCAATTGCTTAAGTTATTCGGGTAGGGATTTGGCATCTACATTCTCTCGGAGACTTGGTGGGTAAGAAAATTTCGAACCATTGTCTTTGGTAGTACTTCTAAGTTCTAAGAACTGGGATAGTGTAATCACTCACATAGAGAGTTGGAGAGGATATAATGACCGAAAGGCATAAACCACTAGTTGAATGTCTTCCTCCGTGTATTTTAAGGACTTAGGAAACATGGGAAGATATATTGATCATGCATTGTGTAGGATACTTGTGATTTTCCTTAGAATGTGATAGTCACTTGTACTATGCAAATCATGTGCAAAGCTTGATCACGCTTCATCCGATGCAATTGTAGCTGGAGATATACAACCGATGTTACGAAAAACAACCTTTGGTTATTCAATGTGCTTGGAGCGAGCAATGATACAACAAGCAACTGGTGTACTTGCCGATATCCCGGAGATTCATGATTTATTTCCTTGAGAAGAGTAGATAGTGCATAATTCATGTGGAAGATTAAAAAGTTAAAGTTAACTGGTAATTGTTGTGTCAAACGGAGATGCCGGTTACGGAAAAACATTGAGTGGAGAATTTCATGTAGCGGCTACTTGTTTCATTTGGCTCAAAATTTGTGGGTTTCACACGGGAGCTACCGATGCGGGTGGCTCAAAGTTTTTGAGATGTTGACGTGTCCATGAAAAAGTACGAGTTAAAAATAAAATTTCGTATATGTGAGGCATGCTTATCGTGTCGGGATGCTAATCATGTTAGGCTATGATTGTCATTTTGGAGTTTGGATATGTGAGCTCACAAAAATTAAAGAATACCAAGTTTGAAGTCTTTTGAGTGTGATGTCATGTATTAGCCTAATGCATTGTTCTAGTTTAATAACGAAAGGAGGCCTTTGAGCCTCCGTTATTTGAATGGTAATACCAAAAGACCGATTGTTATAAATTGGTGCTAGAAAATTGGTAAGTGATTTCTTTAGTCATGGCCCATTTTTTACTTGTGACTATTTAGGGTTTTTCTTCCTAAATCTCTACGTTTAATTTTACGAGGGAAAAAAAAAGGTTTTACTTTTCACCCATCATATTTTGCACATGCATTTTCTTTATACCGAGTGACGAGATATATGCCCTAAAATTTATCACATATCATCCGTATGATTATATTGTAATTTTTAAGAAAATTATGAAATGAATAAATCAAAACACACATCATTAAGAATTATTAAGTTGGTGGTCTTTTAATGCATCAAAAAGGGAAGGAAAAAAAAAGCTCCCAAACTCGACCACGAAACCGTTACCAACGACCTCCCAAAACCCTTACAGAACAACCCTTTTGGATTGGTCATTTAAACCATCAAAGCAGCTCCAAAAACACTCGCAAACCAGCTTCAAAAACACCCAAAAAACCCCAAAAAAACCCTAAAAAATAGGCCTAAAACCAACCCCAAAACTGACCTAACACCTACCTAAAGCCCCAAACTCAATCCCGAAACCGTTACCAACAGACCCTCCAAAACCCTTACAGAGCAACCCCTTTGGACAAGTCATTTGAACTACCAAAGCAGCTCCAAAATCTCCCGCAAACCAGCTTCAAAACCACTCAAAACACCCTAAAAAATAGGCTTAAAACCAACCCCAAAACAGACCCAACACCTACCCAAAGCTCCTAAACTCAGCCACGAAACCGTTACCAACAGACCCCCAAAACCCTTACAGAGCAACCCCTTTGGACAGGTCATTTGAACCTCCAAATCAGCTTCAATAATAACTCCAAATCAGCTTCAAAACCACCCAAAAAAACCTCAAAAGAACCTAAAAAAATAGGCCTAAAACCAACCCCAAAACAGACCTAACACCTACCCAAAGCCGACAAACTCGACTCAGAATCGTTACCAACATCCCCCAAAATCCTTACAGAGAAACTCCTTTGGAAGGCCATTTTAACCACCAAAGAAGCTTCAAAAACACCCCCATACCAGATTCAAAACCACAAAAAAAACCCCCAAAAAACCCACCAAAATAGACACAAAATATTCCTCAAAACGACCCTCAAACACTTTTTGGAGTTACTACAAAAGAAGAAATAAAAATTATTTGTGATTTATCTCATTTTTTGTGATTCAATTGACTTTCCATGATTGTTCATAATGTTACAATATACTCTTTTTTTTAATTGCTAAACAGTAATTTTTTATTCTAAAAAAACGAGGAGAAAATGATGGATAAAAGCAACTAACTTATTATATGCATAGATAATAATACATGTTATACATATTTAAATTAATTTTATGTTGATAATTAATCTAAATTGGCTATTGAATTAATTAATTAATAAACAGTTATCGATTATTCTATGTAGACGATTCATTAGTCATCTTATCATTTCAAATAGATGCTACATGCTAGATTTTTATTTTATTATCATTTGTGTTATTTTCATAAAAAAATATTCATACAAATTTATTATAAGTATTTAAATATAGAAATATAAGCATAGGGGTATTATAGTAAATATATAATAATACATTTTCTTTCCTTCCTCTTTTTACAATTATCCAAACAAAAAAAATATACTTTCTTTTCTTTCATTTCCACTCTTATCCAAAAACAAGTGGAAAATAGTTTTCTTTCCTCTCCCTTTTCTTTCCTCTCACTTTCTTTCCTCTTTTTTCTTTCCTTCCAAGAGGAAATATCTAAACAAGGGATAAAGCTCTTATACTATATTAAAAAAAAATATTTAATTTAGAAGATGAATTCATAGAATGATTTTATATGATTATCTAATAAAAACTTACTTCTTCCATCTCAAAATTTTAGTCTTATTTGACTTTTTAATAAATTTTAAGAAAGTACAATTAATTGCATGTCATGTTAGTTTTTTTAAATTGCTTTCTAAAGTTAATCATAACTTTTCATCCAAGTGTTCGATTGATGCAAATTTAACAATTTGAAAAGATAATTGAGACGCTTACAGCTTGGTGGTGGTAGAAAAATCATCGAATATTATTTTCAAAATCAAAATTTATTTCAAAAACCTACTTTGAGATCCTTTTATGATTTAGACATACATACTAGGCCTAGATCGCTCCTATAGCATTTCTATTTATCATTTCCTTTATTTCTGCATATATTTTAAATATCTTTGGAATTATTTGTGATTTGTTTCTTTTCCATATTACCCTTGTTTGTGTATGATAGAATATAATATTTTTGGACTTATTAGTGATTTATTTCATTTCCATATCAGTTTTGTTTGTTTACAACGGATTATAATATTTTTAGATTTATTAGAATATTATTTCTAGGTCTTGTTGTCTATGGCAGACTATTTAAGTTATCTGATCTTTGGCCATCCGTTATCTATTCAATAAATTATTAGGATTTTAATTTTTTTTCCCTATAGTTTTACTTTGTTTTTGTTGAGATGGTTTTTGAGAATTAACAAACTTCACTTCTCGCTGTATGCTGCTTCAAAATTAAATATATGATTCTTCTTCGTTCATCTTGATTTAAGAATTATATCTACCATTTCAACAATTTGAGCAGCTAAGGCAAGGCAATCATAGGTCATAATTCCTAAACCTACAAATGGGTACCGTCTTTAAAATCCTAGACCACTTAAATTTTTCTTTTTTCTTTTTTTCTCTTAATAAGCTGGAATATGAAATTTCATTAGTAACACCGACAAAAAACTTATCTTGCAGAAATGCAATAAACTTTCCATTAATGTTGCACCGGTACATGTGGTCCTCCCTTTTTTTTTTTTTTTTTTGCCCCTTCAATTTCGAGGAAAAGAGTCAAGATCGAAAAAGGGACTGGAGATTTCTAAGTTATCCTTTATATTATCCCCATAATATTCAAGATATCTACTCCTTCACGTCTGTTAGATTATTTTGATAAAAAATAATATTAATTTTGATCATAAACTTTTCATTAATGTTGCACCGGTACATGTGGTCCTCCCTTTTTTTTTCCCCCTTCAATTTCGAGGAAAAGAGTCAAGATCGAAAAAGGGACTGGAGATTTCTAAATTATCCTTTTATATTATCCCCATAATATTCAAGATATCTACTCCTTCACATCTGTTGGATTATTTTGATACAAAATAATATTAATTTTGACCAAAATTATTAGTAATCATTATTATACTTTTTATATACAAAACCGTTTCACAACTGTCAAAAAACAGCTATTTTTCATAATGATCATGAAACGGTCAAAAACTTCTCATTCATTGTTTTAGCTATTTTATTTAAATGACAATAATATTCTTTAAAACATTAATTTCTCTTGAGAACTGTATATATGGGTCTTTGTCATTTAACAAGGAATATGGTAGCATCAAAGAAAAACTAATTAGCTATATTGCTTCTTTGTCTTTTTAGTTCCCCTTTAAAAAAGCTATATTTATATTTATCATTTCTTTGGATAAGAGTGGTATTATTTATTTACGTTGAGTTTCAAGTCTTACAAACAATGTAAGCTTCTTAAGGCACGATAAAGTGACTCGAACTTATTGTATTCTTGAGACGACGCACAATATATACTTAACATGTTGTATCATATAAATTATGTGGACAACGCGTATAGTCTCAAGAGAACAACCCGGTTGTGTCTTGAGATAGATATCTAAAAATGTTGATAAAACTATTTTGATGATTCAATCATATTTGTACCATGAAACATGATAATATGATTTTAATCTCTAATTTTCCTAATGGCTAAGGTAAAATTCTCAATTTTTTATTCATCTTTATTTACGAGTGAATTATTTATTATTTAATTATGTTTTTTATGTGTTAGGCACAATGATTTGAGATGATACAAAGTCTATGATTTAATGATTAAAATCGTGAAAAGAATCTGGACATAAAATTTAATATTATGTTGTTTTTATAATGTCAATGTCATTACTTGCCTATCGCTTGGTTTTTTTTTTTATCGGTGTTTGATTATTCTTTTTTAATTGAGCATAAAGAAAGTAAAAGGAAATATATATTATATTGTTGACCAAAAAAACAAAAATT